TGCCCCGTGAAACAGCGCGAGCGACCACAGCGCAAACCCTAAACCCTAAACCCAAAGCCCTAAGCCCTGAACCTAGGTGGAGCGATTGTTGGAGAAGAATTTGCTGCATGATGCAGGTGAAGCGAACTCAATGCCCGAGCCAAATGAGGCCTGCAGCAAGTTGGCCGAAGGGTTTAGGGTTTAGGGTTGAGGGTTTAGGGTTTAGGGTAGGGTCTGTGAGTGCGAGATGAATTTTGTTTGTGCGGGATGTTGCAGTCGCACATCGCGGGTAAAGCTTGCACTCATGCATAGCTGCAGCAGGGCAATGGCACCAACAGTTCCTTCGGCGATCTGGCCCGCAATTTGGAGTTCCTGCTGCTCAAGGTGCGTGATGAAATCCATGTGTCCCGCATAGTCCCGCATCCTAGATAATGCTTGACATGTCGTCCTTCTTCATCCAAAGTCTGCTTGAAGGTGGCACAGTTGGAGACAGTGGTGCAATTGCAACAAGCCGAGCTCACGGCCGCGCATACCGAAATCGATGCCTTGAAAGAGCATGTTGGTTGCTTGACGCTGTCGGCGCCTGTTTGTTGTGGGCTCCGACGTGTTTAGGGTTTAGGGTTTATAGGGTTTAGGGTTTAGGGTTTAGGGTTTAGGGTTTAGGGCAGCCAAGGCTTGGACGTCCAGCACGTCGCAATGGCACAGAGGAAGTCGCGGGATCCCCACGCAGCATCGGAGGTCTTGAGCAAAGTCCTGGAGAAGCATCACCACCAGCGCGAGACGCGCAACTACGACCCCGATGCCCACAAGGAGAGCTCTAAAGGTTCGAGTTATTCTGAACCCCCCAAAAAAAGCCCGAAAAACCCCGAAAGCCTTAAACCCTAAAGCCCTAATTAAACCGAAACGCCCCAACCCTGCACTTCGAGGACCTTGAGGCCGAGGATCACTCCGAGCCTCCGGCGGCAGGGGCTGCGGCTGAAGGCGCTGCAGAGGCATTGCTGCAACGTCAGAAGCAGGCCCCCGGGTTCAGGCGGTGTAGGGTGGGGGTTTCTGGGAATAGGGGACCCTAAATAATGGGGACCTTATTATTAGGACCCCCAAATAAGGTACCCCCTATTTTCGGAAGCCCCCAGGTGTAGGGTGCCTGGGCCTCTCTTAGGATTCAGGGCCGTGCCTTGGAGACGCTGACCCTCCAGGCGAAGAGCTCGAGGAAGGAAGCGGAAGCTTCAGAGAAGTCCTTGGATGAGAGCGTTTCCAGCAAGTGGATCGAGGACGTGTATTCGTCCACGGTCGGCCAGGCGGTCGAGCAAGTGTCTGGCACAGGACTGACTCCTGCTGCTTTGGAAGATGCATTCAACCAGGTCAAGGAACAGGGGAATCTCAAAGCAGTTCAGTTTATTCAGAACACGGTGATCGACACCATCGAAAAGGCGACTGTCATTCTCACTTCCTTCAGAGGCTTCACGTTTACGCAGAACTGCCATGCCTACGCACCAAGCTTCAGCTACCATCCCAACGGTGCCAAATTGGTCATCAACTGGGGCAGGCTGGATTGCACGGTAACGCTCGTTGGCAGAATGATCAGGCTCTTCAACACCAACTGGCCGGCAGCAAGCGTCCCCTTGCCGAATCCGTTGGACCACTTGCCGGGTCAGATCCGGAAGGTTGCTGGGGCAAGTCAGGAGATGGTCGACAGGCTCGTGGACATGTCTTTTGATTTGTTGAACACCGCCCACTGCAACAGAGGCGACACCTTCCACTGCATGGCCAAACGTGTCGCAAGTTACGTCATGCAGTTCGAGCCCCCGTTGAACTGGCTTCCAGAACCAATAAAGCGCGTTGCCGCTCATACCCAGGAGGCGGTCGACAGGTTGTTCCAGATGATACACGTCCTGCTGAACACCGCCCACTGCAACAGAGCCGACAGCTTCCACTGCATGGCCAAGCTTGTGGCAAACCACGTCATGGGCTTCGCACCGCCCATGAACTTCTTGCCTCATCAACTTCATACGGTTGTCAATGCAGGCCAGGAGGGTGTCGACAGAGTTTTCGCGATGATCCGTGATCTCCTGAACACCCCGCACTGCGACAGAGGCAACATTTTCCATTGCATGGCCAAAAAAGTGGCAAACTACGTAATGGAGTTTGCGCCGCCATTGAATTGGCTGCCTCAACAACTTCATACGGTTGTCAATGCAGGCCAGGAGGGTGTCGACAGAGTTTTCGCGATGATCCGTGACCTTCTGAACACAGCTCATTGCAACAGAGGTGACACGTTCCACTGCATGGCCAAGCTTGTGGCAAACCACGTCATGGCCTTCGCACCGCCCATAAACTTCATGCCCAGTCCGGTTGGCGTTCTTGCAGGCTCGAATGTCAACTCCGTGAAGAGCTTGCTGGCCATGGGGGACGACCTGATGCATTGCCAAAACTTCGAGTCCGGCCATGAAGTCATGAAATGCCTAGGCTTCAAGATCATCGAGCGGGTACCTCCTCTGAGCTACTTGAACCAGCTAGGTGACGTGATCGGTGGGTATCTCGAGACCTTCGCCGAGGCGGCCACTTCCGTGGCCATGAAGGCTCTACGGGGAGGCACTTCCCTTATCGAGAAGGCCAGTGTGTCCCAATTCCCACCCGTCGGAAAGATGCCCGTGCGGCACCAGCAGGGGAATCTGGTCGTGGAGGTGCACTCGCAAGAAATGCACCCCTCGCTGTTGCAGCTCTTGTCGGGGCAGGGGCAGCAAGTAGTGCCAATGCCGAAATTTGAGCCTGGCGATGAACACGTTGCCAGTTTGATCACCCAGTTCAATGGGAGGGAGGCTGATTCGGGCTCTTGCCTGGCTTTTGCTCCCCGAACCAAGAACGGGGCCAATGTTGGCAACCACCAGGAGGCGACGAAAGACGACTGGACGTCGGCAAAGAAGGAGGACTTCGTCCAGCTGGAGCCATGGGCGGTGCCCTGCGACAACACCTGGATGAAGGAGAGGGTTTCTGGCCTGCATGGCTTCATGTTGGCAAATCCCATTGCTATCAGGAAGCTGTAGTGACTGTTTCCGCGGGAATACGCAGTTTGAGTGAGCGAGCCTGAGTGCGTGAGAATTCGTGAGTGCATGTGCGCCTGCCAGGAGAACTGGAACAAGTGGCAGGGGTACTCCTTCTACACGAGCGAGCTCGCCGTCGAGAAGTGCGTGACAGTGAAGTTCGCCTTGAACATCCAGCCTGTAGTGTCCGTCATCTTGGGCTTGACCTTCGAGCTTCTACCGAAAGAACTCTTCGAGGTGATCACCACGGTGTGTTGGCCGAACCAGATGCCTGGTGGCCTCGACTTGTCCGTGCTTCGTTCGGAGATCAAAACCGCCGGCCACCTGCTCTTCAGCCGGACCCTAAGGCTCGCGAAGCGGTTCGGCGATGATACAGACTTCTCCAAGAAGAACCTGGGCACCGGATACCAAACCTGGAGATCCCCGCTTGGTATCGCCAAAGGGGAGAGCAGGACTGCGATGGAAGGTATGTCGCTGGTGGACAGCAACCGCAGTGCCCAAAGTCAAGCAGAAGGCGGTGCAAAGGAAAAGACGGAGTCCTTTTACTGGAGGACCGAGCCCGAGGAAGTCTACCTGTCTTCCATCGACTATGGTGACTCCATGGAGCCCAACCGGACCTGGGAGGTGCGAGGAGAGGACGCGATGCTTCGATTGAGCGAAGTGCAGGAGGCTCGCAAGCAGGACCGGGAGGAAGTCATCGAGCTCTTCAACTTAAAGGCAGATTCGGGAAAGTCGAACTTCCACATCCAAGGCCTTCTCGACGGCAACGTCGTGGAGATGGGTGTCCAGATGGGTTTCGGACCCTTCCAGAGCCCAAGTCGGCGAGTTCCTTTGGCTGACATCGGAGTGCAGTTTGCTGTCGTCCTCACCGCAATCCCTTGGATCTCTGTCGAAACGAAGAAGACGGCCATCGCAGCCTTGAAGGACTTCTGGCCAGGCCACGAGGAGATTGTGGGGCCCGAGCCGGCTGCCAAGTCCTCCATGGTGGCCTGGTTCAAGAGCGAGGATGCCGACTCTGCCTGGAAAAGCGCCGTGGGCAGCTGGCAGGCTCATGTGACGGGCAGCGTCACCAGAAAGGTCGAGGCCGGACACGGCGCCACATATCCTGTTGCCTACCTCACCGGCGACACCAACGCCGGAATAGACTTCGGCCAGATCATGAAGCCGGACTTCACCATTTGCTCGGTCACCCGCTATATCGGAGGGGTAAACCAGCGAATCCTCACTCACAACCAGCCCAACTGGCTTCATGGTCACTGGGCCGGAGCTGTGGGGGTTGCACACTACAACCACTGGGTGACCAGTCCTCACCGTACACCGTGGAAGAGTCCGGGCTTGACTGGCTGGCTGGTGATGTGTGGCAACAGCGCCGGGGTTGTCTTCAGGGGCAAGGAGAGGAGGAATGACGGAGAGACCGCGGCACTCAAGTCATCTGGAGATGCCCACTTGTACATCAACCTGCATTCCGGGGAGAAATCGGACTTTGGCGTCATGGAGGTCATCGTTTGGAACCGAGCGCTCTCGGAAGAGGAGATGTGGACCAGCATGGAGTATCTGAGCTCCAAGCTCGGACCCCTTCCACCGCAGCCGGCTGACAAGTCCTCCATGGTGGCCTGGTTCAAGAGCGAGGACGTCAGCTCAGCGTGGAAAAGTGCCGTGGGCAGCTGGCAGGGTCATTCGACCAGGGGCAGTGTCACCAGAAAGGTCGTGGCAGGCCACGGTGCCAGATTTCCTGTTGCGTACCTCGCCGGGGGGGTCCACGACGGTTATGACTTCGGCCAGATCATGAAGCAGGACTTCACCATTTGCTCGGTCACCCGCTATATCGAAGGAGGACAACAAAAGCGAATCCTCCAGCACAACCAGCCCAACTGGCTGCATGGCCACTGGGCTGGAAAAGTGGGGGTTACGTATTACAACACCTGGGTGAACGAGGAGGGGCAGCTTACGGGCTTGACCGATTGGCTGGTGCTGTGCGGCAACAGCGCAGGGGTTGTCTTCAGGGGCAAGGAGAGGAGGAATATTGCGCAGCGCGCGCCGGTGATGTCAGACCCAGATGCCCACTTGTACATCAACGACGGGCACTTCACGGAGTCTTCGGACTTTGGTGTCATGGAGGTCATCGTCTGGAACCGGGCGCTTTCGGACGAGGAGATGTGGACCAGCATGGAGTACCTGAACTGGAAGCTCTCTAAAGCGGAGTGAAGCGCTGCACAGAGAGTTTTAAAGTTTTAGAATGTCTCGACTTTCCCGGCTTTTCAGGGCACAGATCAGCCTGAGGCTGGGTTTGTTCAGTGGCATAGGTGGCAGCGCAACTCGCGGAGCTGAGCTGCAGCTCGACTAAGACTCGCATCCCTCGAGCTTTCTCTCCATCGAGCCGGTTGAGTCTCAAAAGCAACCGCAAGCCGCAGTGATCTTCCGCGTGTGGATGCTCATGGTCTTACCGACCGAAAGTTCACGGAAGTTGAAGTTGCATGCGATATATGCTCCTCCAGACTTTGGAGAAGTTTACATGTGCTCACTGGCTGCTGTCCCTTAAGCGTTCAGCATGTGCAGGCCGTGTTGTTTGGCTCAAGCTGTAAGGTATCATGCGAGAGGTGGCGCAGATCAGGTTTTAACATCGAAAGATGGTGAGCCGAAGCTGCCAAGCTTTTGCTCACGGCTTGTCTTCATGGCGGCAGCATGCGGCAGCGTGCCCCACTTTGTGAGGATGGCATTTGCAGCATCCATTGCGCCTTGAGATTTTTTCTCGAGCCAAAGGAAGCCAAGGGAACAGAAGAGTGCTTACGCTTCTCAGGCGTTCGTTTACATCCTAAACTCTAAACCTGAAACCCCGGCTACTTGGACACCGTAGGGTTCAGCTTGTTCCGCAGCCTCGCTCGCCTTACCAGTTTAGGGTTTAGGTAGTTGTAGTCTTACAAATCGTTTGTTTTTACTCAGAATACTGTGGGCTGTAGTTTCCAGACTTCGAGTTGGCGCGGGCAAAACTCCGAGCCTTAACAACCCTTAAAGGCTGCGCGGCTACACCCTGCAACCTGAACCCATTGAAACACCGCAAACCCCCCCCAGGTGCGACCACAATTAGAAGCTTGGCATGCTTGACAAAGGGCATGTCTTGTCTCACTGAGCGCAGCAACGCCTCAACCCAATTGAGTCAAATTTAAGGCTGTTTTTTGTTCTCGGCAATTTCTGAGAAGTCGTGATGCAGTGCTTTGCTTCAAAAATGCCTTCATGCAGTCGTCATACTGTAGCTGATTTGATGTTTGCTAGCTTTGCCCATGCAATGCGAACACTGTCCAGTGAAGAAGCGAGTAACGAATGGAGCTCCAACCTTTCGGCACAGAGCCGCGCCGTTTCCGACTGCCTCTCGTCATAATGAAGTGTCCACTGGTCTGGTGGTGGCTGTCCTTGTTGGCATGCCGCTGCCTGGCTTACAAGATGGACTCTTACCGCAAGGCCACCCGGCTGCACGCATTCCCTGTGGCACCCGCGATCGTCACTGTGCATGGTTCTGATAGTCACCGCACAGAAAGACAGTCAAACTGGGAAAGAGGATGGCCAGTCTTACTCTTGGGTGGAAGAAAGAGATGAGACAGAAGACCCCTCGATTTGCAGGTTTTTTTGGTCATCAAACAGGGTGCCAGTGAAAATTAGAGAAGATCCAGGGCCAGGAACTTCTCAATACAAGAGTCTCGTATGAGGCTCTGGGGAGCACTGAAGCCTCGTCTTGCTGCATAGGATATGTACTTATCCAGGGATGCATTGCTGCGTCATGATAAAAAGTAGAAAATAGTTACCTTAGCTTGACATCTTCCTTCTTTCCTTATACTGGGTTCCATCATGCATCAGCCAACATCGGCCAAGGTGGCAGCGCAGTCCGATTCGCTGCAGGCTCGGGTCATATATATGTACATATATATATATATATATTTACATATAGATATGTTGTGTATGTATATGCACATACGTTCCTATTTACATAAACACTTTTGCAATACACAAGGAAATTTAAGCTAATTTTGACATGAATTTCAAAGACGAGAACTTCAGAAACTCCGAGGCACCATGAAGCTCTTGATGTCTCACTCATCGCATTCTGCTGAGCTTTTGCAGTCTTTTCTCCAGGGCTGTTAGGGGGCTCAGGTCAAAGTTCAGTGTTTCTGGCATGCGAATGGGCGCGCTGTGTTTCTGACGTGGGCCCAGGCACAGAAGGTGTCGCTCGTCAACGCATGTAAAGCGAACTCACTGAGCCCTTAAGCCGAAAACGACCGTCGAACTCGGGCCAAGCCCTGTTCCGCTGAACCTATTTCGAAATACTGATGTTCTCGCAGTAAGAGCCGAGAGGTTTCATCAGTTGCACTTGAGCTTGAGACGAAGTAGTGGTCGTGATCTTGGGCGTTCTCAGCTCCTTCTTATGCTTGGCCATGGTTTCTCAACGCGAGCAATTGCGGTCCTATGGATGCATGTTGCCGAGAAGGATTGCCAAAATGTTGGAGGTCGCAAGTGATGGAGTGTTGCGAGCCACTTGACATCTGCCCAAAAAAGACAAACGGGTTGTCTTCAGCTCGTTTTCGACAGGCAGAGCTTGCCACCTTGCGGGAGGCTGTCAGAGAAGAGATTAAGCAGACTTTGCAGCCAGGAATGCAAGCAGCCACACGCAAAACGACGGTAACATGATGCAAAAGAACCAATACTCGTAACGAAAAATAGGGGGCCTCTAAAGTGGACCCTAAATAGTAGGATTCCATTGTAAACGGACTCCAATAAGGAACCGCAATTTCGGAAACCGACATATGTTTCAGACTGTGTACTAGCAAGGTGAATAAACAAGCTGAGCCCAAGGACCTCGGAAGTGGCTGCTCAACTGCGCCCGCAGCAAGTTCGCCCGGCTTTCTCAGAGCCAGCGCACCTTGGGAGGAAGAGTAGTAGACACCTCCCTAGGGTTTAGGGTTCAGGGTGTAGGTTTAGGGTTTATTGCCCAGTCAAGCCCTAGACTTAGACCCTGGCCCTCCACCAGATGTTGCAGGGGGTTTGTGAAGTCCCAGCGGCCTGCTGGGATCCACAGTCCAGTTCGGAATGTCCTGGAACTCTGAGTTATGGATTCAAGGTTTGGGGTTGAAGTATTTGGGGAAGATCAGGCGGCAAACATCGCTTAAGAGGTTCCTCACATGTTTTGCAGGGTGCTGCCCTGTCCAGCCACCGTCTCAGGCAGCAGCTTTGTGGTGAGCTGGCGAATGATTCAGGTGAAGATGATCATCACTGTTATCATGGTTCGTAGCAGTGATCACATTGTTATTCACTTGTTGCTCCTGGCAATATCAATGCTCATGACTCCATTTTCACTAATAGATATTCAGTGATAGTCAATACCATTAATAGTACTGTTAGTAAGTTTATTGTTATCTTGGTACCAAATTGAACAGGCACAGTTTTCATGTGAGAGGTCCTAGCACAAATGCAAATTAAGATTACGAGTGCTGGTCCTGACGTTATTACCGCTGGGTGCCTATTGAGTCTATTGTTAAATATGGCTTTTGCCTTAGAAAGAGAGCGACTTCCGATTGCAGAAGGCCGCAGAACAGTCAACGATTAACGCAGCTGCTGAAGACGGTGTCTGTTCCATGGCACGCAGACAGCTGAAAGCGCTTGTTAGTAGACGGCTTGAGCTGCACCAGAGTTTGGGCCATTTGGGATATAGACAAGCACGCACTACGGGGCCCCATGCGTTCCAGTCTCTTGAGAGAACAAGTCGGTGCAGTGAGGGCTCCATGATTCCTTTCCCATCGTCGAAATCCACCATTGTAAACTCATGACAGCGTTACACATGTATGTATATGTTGAAGGAGGTCGGTCCAGGCCAGTTCGTGGCATACCCTACAGAGCTGCCAGAGCAAGTAAGGCTAACTTGAGCAGCGCGGAGGGCCATCTAGCATCGCGGTGCAGCAAGAAGGCCACAGCACCAATTTTGGGGGAAGCTGCTCAAGTTTAAATGGGGGGTTTCCCAAAATAGGGGTACCCCTTTTATAACCCTTCAATAGAATAGAATCCCCTTCAGGGGACCTCCCCAAAAGGGTACCCTTATTGTCGGAAATCCCCATTCTAGATGTCGCTGCAGTTTGCGGAAAGCCATGTGCAGGTGACCGCCCGCGTTGCTCGGAAGCATCCTTTCGCTTCTTGCTGGCAAGACCTAGGACATTTTCAGGTAGGTTTAGGGTTTAGGGTTTAGGGTTTAGGGTCTATGTACCTTATAGAAGCCTTATAGAAGCCCCATGTACCCTAAACTCCCCACCCTGTAGTTTCCTTTAACAAGAGTCAGCCAGTAATCCGGCACAGGCTCGCTAGGCCCCGAAACCCTTGAACCCCATCAACCCCTAATTAAACCTAAAACCTAAGCCCCTAAACCTCTAAGTAGGAGGCAAAAAACCCTAAATCCCTAAACCCAGAACCCAAAGCCCCTAAATCCCTAAACCCCTAGCCCTAAACCTCTAAACCCTCAATCCCTAAACCCAGAACCCGAAACCCCTAAACACCTAAACCCCTAAACCCCTAAACCCTAAATCCCAAAACCCAGAACCCAAAACCCCAAAACCCCAAAACCCCTAAACCCTAAATCCCTAAACCCAGACCCCAAAACCCCTGAACCCCTAAACCCCTAAACCCTAAATCCCTAAACCCTAAACCCCAAACCCAGGAACCCCAAAGCCCCTGAACCCCTTGACCAAGATCCGGGCTGCAAGGTTTCGTTGAGTCAGCAAGGTCTCAGGGAGAGACTTTGGGGCATTTTAGGGTTTTACGGCGCTTTTTAGGGTTTCAGGGGCATTTTAGGGTTTTACGGGGGTGTTTAGGGCTTCAGGGTTTGAGGGGTTTAGGGTTTTAGGGGTTTAGGCCGGGTTCCTGCTTGAGGTGCTGAGCCAATCCAATCTGTCGAACCACGCCACCTCGTGCGATGATGACAAGTGGCTGGGCAAGCGGAACCCGTGGATCTAATATAGCAGCCTAGCTAATTACCACTATCACTGTTAGGGTTCCCGATTATAATAATACCATAAGGGAGCCCAGAACCTTATTCTAATTTTAAACGCTTCGCGTCATCCGCCTCGGCCCGGCCGTTTGGTAGGCAGAGATGATGCCAGGTTTGTGTGTTTGTACTCCTGTTTACATGGAACCCTTTGGCTGAAGTATACAATACAAGTCGCGGCAACCTGAGCAGTCAAGCTGTTCAAGCAGTTTGAGATGGGGGTTTCCAAAAATGGGGGGACCCTAATATAGTACCCTAAATAGGATCCTTAATATAAGGACCCCCAAATAAGGTACCCCTAATTTTCGGAAACTCCCAGATGGCGAGAAGTAGATTCGCTTTCGTAGTATTTTGATAGGATACTCATGTGGGGCAGCTGGGATGTTTGGAGCTGACAAACTAGCAGCTTACAGTGCTTTCAAGGACGCTTCTTTTCGCTCTTGTGGATATATAATATGCTATATAGATAAGGTTCGACAAATAATATAGTATATGCATATGTATATGTAAAGGTATACGTACACATATATGTATATGTATACGTATGTGTATATGTATATGTGTACGTATACGTATATGTATATGTATATGTAGATGTAGATGTATATGTATATGTATATGTGTATGTATGAATGTATGTATCTATGTATGTAGGTATGTATGTAGGTATGTATGTATGTATGTATGTATGTATGTATGTATGTAGGTATGTATGATTATTCCATTGAGCAAGTTATGCGGGCTGCAGCCATGCGCCGACATGTGTGGATCACATCAGAGGGTTCATCTAGGAGATCTTCCCCCCAGCCCTCACGTTGAGGCTGCCGATCTTCGATTACAAGCCGACAGCAATTAGCACAACCTGTTGCCCGACATCGCGACTGGTTGCCTGGATGCTTTTGCCTTTGCCTTCTGCTTTGTCGTCTTGCGACCATCATTGGAGGTGCCGAGGTGCCCCCGATTGAGCTGAGGACTGCGCTGGCTGCGCAGAATTTGGCTCCAGAAAATGCATCTCGGCCGGGGAGGGTTCAGGGGGAGGCGTGAATTCGGCGAGAAGGCAGTCTCAAGCTGCTAGGACAGGTGTGTCAAGCAGTGAGTGGCACGTGGTGATATCGTGCAGATTTATCAATGAACCAGCTAGCTTCACTTGGGTATTTCAATCACAAACTACATCTAGGATCTAGGCTAAGGACTTCGAAGCGCCCAACGTTTCCTGCGCACTTGAGCCTTGATCCCATACCAAGTGGTAGACGAAACTGGCCAAGGTAAACGGTGTGCCCCAGGATTTGTCGAGCGCGAAGGTCGCCCAGACGCAAAACAAAGAGATAGAGCGAAGTGATGGATTCAGGACTGAGCCTGGATATGTGCCAAGATTGTGGACCATGTTTACGAATGAGTGAGAATCCCATGCATAGGGTTTAGGGTTTTAATGGTGTGATCCGTCTCCGGGGCCTTCCAAAGCCCCAACACGAAGCGACTCATTCATTCGTTCCTTCATTGATTCATTCCTCCACTAATCCATTCATCATTGTCCTTTCATGTTAGTCCATTCCATTCGTTCTGAGATGGGAAGAGAGGCAGTTATTTTTGATTCCCGCCACTGGAGGCAAGTTCAGGAGAAAAGCACTGACCCCCCTGCCGCAACACACGTTTGGTCCGCTGATCTGTAGCAGAGATACTACTCCTTTCCAGAATCGGGGAGCTTCAACACATGCTTACTTGGGCACACTAAAGCAACAACAGCTGTATCGAAGCTCTCAAGATCATCACCATCGTTCAGATCGCACCGCCAGGATGAGGATGAGGATCACGCTGACGATGATGATGATGATGATGATGATGATGACGAGGGCGGTGATGGAGGTGATTTTGATGATGGTGACGATGATGGTGATGATGGTGATGGTGGTGATGGTGGTGATGGTGATGATGATGATGATGTATGATGATGGCGACGACATAGACACCCAGTATATGTCTAACAGCCTAACACAAGTGTCCAACAAACCCGGAAGTCCTGCTCCTTTTGCCTGCACTGGGACATGAGGGACAGGCAGGAGCACCGCCTGAACGTGGTGAAAGCATCTCCGTCAACAGCGATCGCCACGAGCTCGCCGAATCTCAGCAGAGTCCAGGCAATCTCACGGGGTGATGACAGCCCTAAACCCTAAACCCCTAAACCCTAAACCCCTAAACCCTAAACCCCTAAACCCTTAACCCTTAGAGGAGACCAGAAGGCTCCCTTAATCACTACAGCCACTACAGTCGACACTGATTCTACACTATTCTACACCTTACGCTCAACGGGCAGCAGTGTATGCCCCGCGTGCGCAACGTTCAAACTTAGCCTCCTGCATCAGATTTATCTTGCTACTTGGGCAACTTGCGTCACGTCTCCTGGAAATGAGAGAATACCGTTCAGAGGCAGTTGTTCTGCCAAGCTCCTCAAGGAGATTTTTTGCATCGACACCATATCTGAAAGTGGACCCGTACAGATGCGCAAAACGAGCAACTTAACCATGAACTGCAAGCTCTTGAGCGCGGTGCAAATTGGACGTCTCGCGCCATGTCGCCCGCAGCTGCCGGTGACTTTCCTCTTGATGGCCCAGGGGCAAGGGACACTGCATGGCTCTATGGCCTGAATGAGGTCGTTGGCAGAGTCAGGCGGTCCCTTGGGTCGTGCGGCTCCAAGGATGAAATTCACCAGCATAGACTCATGATGAGTTCACTTCCCTTCGCTGTCCTGCAGGGTCGACATGGCAGCTGTGTAGCTCCTCAGATGGATAGCCAGTGCAACCACAAAGAGCAGACAAGTCGTAATCATAGTCAAGTTGCAGAATGAGGTCGGAGAAGCTGACGGAGCAAGCCTACCGCGAGCAAATGTGTGGCGCATGGAGCGCAACATCAGTTCTGCCAAGGAATGACAGTGACACACTTTGCGAAAGGTCAAGCTGTGGTGGTGCGCTGAGGCACATTCTTAAATTGTACGACATTACCAACTATGTGATGCTTATGTCAGGCCCTGGTTTCAACCTTTTGCACATATCCAGTGTATCGAAATGTCACTCTTCTGTTTGCTACACTGTTTTGAAATCTTTGCATCCAGATATGTATGGCAAAAACGGGTGCAAACAGCCCATGACATCTCCTGTCTTCGACTCCCAAGTTCCAAAATGGCCTGCCTGACTCTCTCGCCTCCAAAGCCAAATTCGGTTTAACAAGCGTACCTGCCTCAGTTAGCTTCAACCTCGGCGTGAGACGCTTCAAGAATCAAGTCGCAACACGGATGCCGAGGGCTCTCCTAAAACCCTGCCAAAACCCTTAACCCTAACACCTAAACCCTAAACCCTAAATCCTTAAACCCTAACACCTCAAAGCCCTCTAAACCCGTAAAGTGTGTGCGTGTGTGTGTGTGTG